ATCTACTGCAGCCACTGTATCCACTGTATCCACTGTATCTACTGCATCCACTGTATCTACTGCATCCACTGTATCTACTACTTTGTGTCAATAACTGCTGCACTTTTGTAACCATCTGTTTTTGCCTCCAAGCTGTGTGAGTTTCTCGTACCCTCTCTTATAAGCTCTCTCTCTCTCTGTCTCTCTCTCTGTGGCCTGTTTTCTTCCAGGTCTCCATCGTGGAGAGGAGGTCATATGGCTCAGGTCCCACTTGGCAACACTTAAAGTTACACCCATAACATCTACTACACCCACAACATCTGTTACATCATATTAGTTCCAGAGGAGAACAGTTTTTTACACAATCACATCTGTATATTCACTAAATCTCAATCTATCATCAAACACACGTGTCTCATGAATGACTGCTGGAAGATGGTCTGTGTGTTATTCATTATTTTAGTTTTGGATACCTTTAAACCTAAAAAAGTTCTGTCATTTAAATCTGACCTTTGTGTCACTTGTTGAAGTTTGTTTTTGAGTCTGCAATGAGCTCACTGTTGCTTCTTGTGGCCATTGGGGGAAAAGCCATTAAAACTGCCATCTCACCAACCGTCAAAGACTAGTGGGTGTTTTCTGCCCTCCAGCGTCAGGGGGCAGTAATGAGCACATTACAGTTCTGGGAGTTCAATGAGGTGAAGGAGATGTCACACCAGAAAACTGACTTGGCCAAAGGGTGAGATTTATTTTTAAAGTGTTTTTACAAGAGAAAATACGTCAGTGATAAAGACTACCTACTACTACTACCAACTGGTTCTTTTATTAAATGTACGTCTGGTTAACTTCTAGCTAACCTCACCTCCATTAAAGAGCAGCACACAGCGACAAACTGGGCTTTCCTAAGACTGTACACCCTCAGGGCCAGTTGAAATGTTATGTACTAGAACTGCTTTCATTTACTGCAACAACCTGAAAAAGACCTCAGAGTCCTCTGCTGTCTGTACTCTCAGCAGTGTCTCCTGCAGTTTGACTTTGATTACAAATGTGCTGACGAACCTAAACTCAGAGTTTCCTCTGATACAGACACACCAAACTGATTCATTATCAGAGTGAATGAACAGGAAGTATTCTGAAAGTAAACCTGTGGTGTTGTGACTCGGGATTAGGGGTCGGTAAAAATATCAATTCATCAATGCATTGCAATATATTTTTTCCCAATTCAATATCGATTCATTAAATCCTCTGAATCGATTCAAGCCCCTGGCCAGTGGGGGC